ACTCAAACGCAGCGAGACGTGCGATGAAGAGAGAACTTCTGAGCGCTAGCCAACGCGTCAGCAATGTTAAAGCTCTCTCCGCCTGGATTCGCATGACGGCACGTAGTTCAAACCTCGTTTTTTTCATTTGGCACTCTGTCAGAAGACCTGTGCTGTACTCCTGTCACGAGACCTGTCGACAACCCTGAGTGAACCCATCATCGGCATTCCCCGATGACCTTCTATGTGTTATGGTTCACTTCTTTTTTACAGCTGTTTTCTTGTTGACGTGATGCAAGCCCAACTCTGTTGGTATAGCACTATTTTAATAGTTTGTCATAGACAGTTGTTTGTTTCGGCAAAGGCACCACTTCAATTTTCCTCAGCGCTCTCGCTTTGAAAATGTGATCGCTAAGTTTGCGAAGATGTCACATCGACAGGCAAACCACAAGTAGAGCAAAGCCTTGACTCTAAGTGAGAGCCGTCATTTCCAAAGTATATGTAATTCTGTAGGCACTGCGCTGCGTGAGTTAGCCGGCTCAATGAGCGCTGCCGAGCCTGAAGATCCGTCCGCGTCTAACGCCGCATCCGCTGCACATGGGCCGGACGAAAACACTCGCTCCAATCCTGTCGACGCACCGACGCCGGCCTGCACAACAAAGGCGCGCACCGACATTCCGTAACTCGCCCCGGTGCCCAGACGTTACACAGCGCATGGCGAAACAGCGGTGGCGCCGGTGGCCGCGTTCGCAGGCGCGTCTCTGGCTGGCGGCGGCGGTTCCGGCGGCGGCGGCAGCGCCGTGCCCGCGCCGTCTCCTCACGCCTGGGAAGGCCGCCAGAGGTCGGCTGCCGGAGCAGGTGTCGTCACTCGCTCCCACCGGCAGCCGACGAGGTGACGACGTCATCACGGAGATGGCGTGGGACGACGTCATCACGGAATTGGCGTAGGACGGCGTCATCGCGGAAGATGACGTGGGACGGCGTCATCGTGGAAGATGGCGTGGCATGGTGTCATGTCGGTATACATAGCTTTGTGGCGGCTTTGAATTAGTTAATAGGTGTGGCAACGTCCCAAACAGTGTGTGAACAAAACCCATTGATGTGGTCGACTATTGCATGCATTATTTTATATTTAATGACACCCACCCACTTTCACAAGTGAGTGAGCGGGTGGGCGATGCTTTCCTCTCCCCATCCGAGTTTCTACGAAATATATTAGTTGATGCAAAGGTGGTGTTAGCCCATACCTCACAACCATGTGTTTTTCATAACCAGGTATATCGCCGCACGCTACTGGTCACACTCCAATGGCGTACCGCACGGCCACACATCACTGGCGACACGCCAATGGCGTACCGTACAGCCACACATCACTGGCGACACACCAATGGCGTACCGTACGGCCACACACCGCTGGCGACACGCCAATGGCGTACCGTACGGCCACACATCACTGGCGACACGCCAATGGCGTACCGTACGGCCACACATCACTGGCGACACGCCAATGGCGTACCGTACGGCCACACATCACTGGCGACACACCAATGGCGTACCGTACAGCCACACATCACTGGCGACATGCCAATGGCGTAATGTACGGCCACACACCACTGGCCACGCGTCAATGACGTACCACACGACCACACACCACTGGCCGGTTAAAGGAAAAAAAATCGAAAGACAAAAGTTCAAAGGACAAAAGTTAGATGACGAGCAATCATACGCTAACGATTCAAAAGGTAAAAAGTCAAACAGAATAAACGTCAAGTGCGAAAAAACTAAACAGTCAAAGAACAAAAAAATCAACTGCAAAGTGTTAAACAAACAAATAATCAAAAGACGCAGGTCAAAACGCAAAAAGTCCAACGGGCAAAAAGTCAAATGAATAAAAGTAAAAAAGATGAACGCCTAGATTGTAAATCTAGTAGAATTACAAAACGTCAAAAGGAATAAACGTCAAATGGAGAACGACAGAACAAGCACTTAAAAATCACTTTCCGGCTTTCACAGGGAAGCCACAACCCTTTCACAGAGTTAAAAATCCATTGTGCTATGGCGAGGTCAAGCACAATACACTCTGCGGCGCCTCTGTAGCTGAGGCGGGTCGCGCTGCTAGACGTGTGACCTCACATCATGCCCTCGCCTCCCCCTAGTTGTGGCGGTGCGTGTGGGCTCTCCACCCTATCAGTACCTTCATTGATGCCGTCCAGTGGGGCCGACCGTGTAAACAAAGCCCCCCACCGCGACGTCTGGCGCGTCCCTCTGCAACAATGAGGCGTCAACGCCGTTCTCGCTGCGCGAGCGGATCGCCCCATGCAAGGACAACACAATGGCTCTGCGTGTGCTGCTTGGCAAACAATCCCTTACCTGATTCAGAATGGGTGCTGGATGACAGTGGCTTTGCCGTTGGCACAAGCCCACGTTTGTATCGCAAAAAGGTCTTGAAGCGGCCTGCGCACTGTGGGATGGAACCAAATTTGCCCATGGTTCAGCAAAATGTGAAATTGCCGGTTATTTGCCGCGACGTAAAAATATGTCACATGAGATTTTCATTTACATGTTGAGGTTCACAAGCACAGTTTGTAGCACGCATTATTTAGCATAAGGTATAATGCTGCAGGGTGCTGAAGCTCACGGAAAAGACGGAGTTAGGGGTGTGGGTGTGGGGAAGAAATTCAAGTCTTCTTTTCATGCAGCAACGTAGAAGCAGGACTCCATTTCTGCCTACACGAGTGCGATTTACCGGGCATCGAAGGCAGCTGACTCTAACCTTCCCCCCCCCCACGCCCCCCGGTTCCCTCGCTTGAAGACATGACAATAGCCAAACGTGAGTTGGGGAAAATCGGATGAGATGATGCAGCTCTTAAAGGATGGTTTTAGTTTTCACGTTTTTAGCTCCTTCTTAACCTTGTAATACCAACAATGCACCTTATTTTGCAGAATGGTCGCGCGATTTTATTAGGTCATGTGAATAAACTTCTCACTGGTGATCAGAAGCATGTTCAACCGAGATTGCACACAAAATAAGCACAATTACAGGCTCTTCACCTGAGCAATAACACTTGTGTTTTGACCCCAGTAGTAGATGCAGTAAGTGTTCCAAAAATAAACAATCAACGTTGCTCGCCTTCCCGCCGGCTATGCAGATCGTGACATGTTTGTCCGTGCCTGTTTTTCTTCTTCTTTTCGCTTGTGCTCATGTTTGCCTGTGAAATTCGGGTAAGAGCGTGCTCTTGTGCGAGCTCTTAGCGACAAAAGATGGAATGTAAAATGTGCAACGGTTCGAAGCCGAACAAAAACCTACCGCCTTAAAACATCAACTACGTTAAGGTTTTAGTTCACGTTAACGAAACAAAAACGTTTTGAGCCAACACGAAATAGGATGCTACGCCTCAACGTTCACGAAACTGACAGGTTTTAAGCCAACATGAAACAGCACGTAACTGGAGAACCACGTAAAGTACCTCCCTCCAATGTCATGTCGGAGAGAGAGAGAGAGAGAGAGAGAGAGGAGAGAGAGAAGAGAGAGAGAGAAGAGAGATAGAGAGAGAGAGAGAGAGAGAGAGAGAGAGAAGAGAGCAGGCAGGCAGCAGGCAGGCAGGCAGGCAGGCAGCAGGCAGGCAGGCAGGCAGGCAGGCAGGCAGGCACAGGCAGGCAGGCAGGCAGGCAGGCAGGCAGGCAGGCAGGCAGGCAGGCAGGCAGGCAGCAGGCAGCAGGCAGGCAGGCAGGCAGGCAGGCAGGCAGGCAGCAGGCAGGCAGGCAGGCAGGCAGGCAGGCAGCAGGCAGGCAGGCAGGCAGGCAGGCAGGCAGGCAGCAGCAGGCAGGCAGGCAGGCAGGCAGGCAGGCAGGCAGGCAGGCAGGCAGGCAGGCAGGCAGGCAGGGCAGCAGGCAGGCAGGCAGGCAGGCAGGCAGGCAGGCAGGCAGGCAGGCAGGCAGGCAGGCAGGCAGGCAGCAGGCAGGCAGGCAGGCAGGCAGGCAGGCACAGGGCAGGCAGGCAGGCAGGCAGGCAGGCAGGCAGGCAGGCAGGCAGGCAGGCAGGCAGGCAGGCAGGCAGGCAGGCAGGCAGGCAGGCAGGCAGCCAGGCAGGCAGGCAGGCAGGCAGGCAGGCAGGCAGGCAGGCAGCCAGGCAGCAGCAGGCAGCAGGCAGGCAGGCAGCAGGCAGGCAGGCAGGCAGGCAGGCAGCAGGCAGGCAGGCAGGCAGGCAGGCAGGCACAGGCAGGCAGGCAGGCAGGCAGGCAGGCAGGCAGGCAGGCAGGCAGGCAGGCAGGCAGGCAGGCAGGCAGGCAGGAGGCAGCAGGCGGCAGGCAGGCAGGCAGGCAGGCAGGCACAGGCAGGCAGGGCAGGCAGGCAGGCAGGCAGGCAGGCAGGCAGGCAGGCAGGCAGGCAGGCAGGCAGGCAGCAGCAGGCAGGCAGGCAGGCAGGCAGGCAGGCAGGCAGGCAGGCAGGCAGCAGGCAGCAGCAGGCAGGCAGGCAGGCAGGCAGGCAGGCAGGCAGGCAGCAGGCAGGCAGGCAGGCAGGCAGGCAGGCAGGCAGCAGGCAGGCAGGCAGGCAGGCAGGCAGGCAGGCAGGCAGGCAGGCAGGCAGGCAGGCAGGCAGGAGCAGGCAGGCAGGCAAGGCAGGCAGGCAGGCAGGCAGGCAGGCAGGCAGGCAGGCAGGCAGGCAGCAGGCAGGCAGGCAGGCAGGCGCAGGCAGGCAGGCAGGCAGGCAGGCAGGCAGGCAGGCAGGCAGGCAGGCGCAGGCAGGCGCAGGCAGGCAGGCAGGCAGGCAGGCAGGGCAGGCAGGCAATCTTCACGAGGTCCCCCTTTTTAAATGTAGCCAATAAAAACAGTATATTTACTTTAAACTGTTTATTCCAATCCTTTTAAATGATGTCCCAAGCGACGAATTTGCTTCGGTGCGGCGCTTATTTCGTGCAAAGGATATCTATGACGCAATATCGTCATACTGAGCCAGCTGAGCCAACCTTGAGAGTACCTTCCATACTGGTACCCTTGATCGGTATCGACCCCGATCCCGCTTCGACTTGGGCGGCGTGTTTGCATAGCTTTACAATTAGGTGAAATCGCAGAATCTTAATTCGTTATCGGGCCAACGGAGCAGTGAAACTTGACTTAATTGTTTGACTGCGTGCATTCAAGTGATTAGGTAGTCTCTCACCTATTTACATGCGTAGCTAGAAGGGCACATGAAGTTGAAGTTGGTTCGTGTTGACGGCAGGTGACCAGAGGTTTCTTGATTCGATCTCACCTTTTGACAATTTTCCTTGATTGCTGTTAACATCTGTGGCGACCTAAAAAAGGAATCCTGGCCTACTATCTGGCATAGAGTGTGGCCTACTGACAAAGGTTCCTGTTCATTTGTTTGAGATAGCAAAGAGGTGTTTTTAGGATGTCCCTGCCCAGCATAGGGGAACTGATGAGCAGATAACTGCAGCAATAATTTTGAGAAAGGTATCAATTCATGGCACAAAGGGAGACAATTTTGAATCAGAATATGCTGAGTTTTTAGATTTTTCTCTCAAAGCTATTGCCTGGGGGATCAGATCTGTATAGGTATTGCTCTTCCCAGCAATTATTTTTGTGACAGCTGCTCCCTGCCCTAATCCAACCTCCATGATAAGTGTCTGCCCAGACTGCAAAAAGTTAGGTTACACATGATCTCAGCAACAGCTTGAGCACATGCATCTTAAATTTGATCAACAAGTTTGGTACTTGGTCAGCACCAATTCTTGAGCATGAAGTCAAAGGTTCCAAGGAATTGTGATGTAAAGTTTATGTCATACAAAAATACTTTGAAAACATTTTTCATGAAAAATGGTATAAAATTGACCTGAAATTAGCCTGGCCTGGGTAGTTTGGCATGTACAAGCTTGAGGTTCAGGCCATTGATCTTGTGTAGGCACCCTGTTTTTGGTATATAGAGTTACTGTCAGCCCTGCCAGTTCCCTGTTGGATCTGTGTGAACTTTGACATGCATGCTTCCTGCTCAGGCATGGGGGTTGAGCTGCTCTGATTGGTACTAGGGTTAGTTAGAAAGGCTTGTATTGTTATACCATTTGATATCAGTAAGGAAGAATAAGGTGCCAGGATTTTAATAAAATAATCAGTGGTGTCATGATGACAGAGTGCCTACTAGCATCTTAGTTCTGACATAATCATATCTGGTAGTATAACCAAGCATTTACTTCTGTAGCCATGTAGTTCAGATAGGACTGCATGAAATTGAATGTAAGGGGGCTTATTAATTTGTTCAACCATCTAGAAAACTGTCATCAGTGATACCAAAATACCCATGACCTGGCACCCAGGGTATCAGCTTCTTGAATTCTGCACTGGCAATGCATGGTGAAGGCTGTCAGGCTGCCATGCCTTGCACACATTTGGTAAAATCATCCATGATAAGGAACATGGGCTGCTAGCTAAAACTTACATGCTGCTCAACTTGCTGTTATAGGGAGGGGGGGGGGGGGGGATGCATGGTTTGTTGGAGGGTAGGAAAGATGGTGAGTGGTGGAGGATAAAACATAAGCTCTTGAACTGAATGCTAAGTTATGAGAGATAAATTACATTATCTTGATTGATCCCTGCTTTAGAATGTAAGCACACTTGCTTGGATAGAGTTTTGAACCTATGCACAAAAGCTCTGGTGGGATATTGCTCTCAGTTGTGTTTTTGGTTGTCTTGATGGCATGGGACACCTTAAGCAGGCCAGTTGTGGCAGGTGTCAGGTTTCACAGGTGTCTTGGCTGGCCATGGTTGCCCCTTTTGCTTTGACATGGTCAATGGCTGTTGAGGTATTGTGTTGGATTGGTTTTGAGGCTGTAACCAGTGAGTGATAACAGTTAAGCTGCTGTTCATGGCATCTTTGAGGAACATTTCAGCTCAAATTTGTTTTTTGGCCATTCCATCCAAATTAAGTAATTCTGTTTGAAGCGTGACATGTAGACAACTAATATACAATGTGTGAATTAACATTTGTTTTCCAGTGGCAATGAGCGAACATGGGTCAGCTGCCTCAGACAGATCAGGCCAGAAACGCAAATTTGAAGTGGAACATCTTTGTAACAGGTGAAAATATGTGGCCAGTGCTTGGTTAAATAGAAAACATTGCTTTCAACATCACATTCAACAACCATGTGTGAACTTTGATTATTCTCTTTTTCTGGTCTGTGGAGGCAAAACAGGATGGAGCCTGAGTAAGTCCAGGGCTTGCAGACCTGTGAGACACTGCACACAGACCAAGCAGATACATTTTTGGAGCAAGTAATCTACCCTTCCAATGGGTGTGAAACCACATTTATGAACATGATTGCACAACTGGTCTGCATTTACTCAGTTGCATTTTGTCTTGATGGCTAAGGCATCTGCTCACAGTATTTCCTGATATTTGATGTCTTGTAAGCCTATACATTGTTTTTAGGGAGAGCGAAGATGATGATGACACCATCTCCATCGGAAGTGGCAAATATTCCAAGTTTTCGTCGGACTCCGGCGGCAGTAGCACTAAAAAGTGGGTATCTGTTGTGATTTTGTATACGTATTTCCATATTCACCTGTGCATACAGTCCTGTATACACTGATGACCACCATCTTGCTTTTTCTCACTGAATTTTAGTTCACGAAGTGGCTAGTGTGTTCATTGTGCTTATTTCTCACTTGCTTGATGTTCCTGTTTGATTATTCTGCTTCCAACAGACTCAATGAAACACGAGCTCATCACATCCCTCTTGGAAGCCTCCATCAGACCGACACTAGTGGACATTGGCACATAACTTGTGGTGTCATGTCAGGTGAAACAATATTAACAATTCTTACATTGGCCCATCACACTATATCAAGACCCAAATGAGCCATTGCCAGGACAGAATCACTAAGGCCACAACAACTTTCCTTTTACCATGTTAAGATGCATTCACAGTTAGATTTTATTGCCACAGGTTGGGGATTTCAACCGTATTTTTGTCGTGGGTTTTTATAGCACGGCCCAGAGGTAGAGCGATACTGTTAAGCTGGCAAGCGAACGTTTCGTGAAGAACTTTGATTAGTTGGCCATTTCTCAATCAGAGGCACCATTGTTGGGGCCTGTGGTTGGATATGTAGTGATGATTTGGTGATGTTGAAGTCAAACCGTCAGACATGCTCGTTATACTCAGTCGCATGCTGTGTCTTTTGGGGTGGTCCTCAAAATACAACTTTTTAAAATGTTCGGGGCACCCCACCAATCGATCCCGCGTGATACAAACATGATTGTGTGGAACTCTGGGCGAGCGATGAATTTTTAGAGTCGTCACACCTAAATTTATCCGCGTAGGTGCGAGGCACCGACTACTGAAAGCGCTGTGCAAGGCGCTGCCCGATCCTGGCTCTAAACCATCAGACTAGTTCAAGAGCATTTGACGATTTCTTTATCTCATAATCTAACGTTTGCAGCGTCCAAACCGCATGGTAACACCAGGACGATGCCGGTACGCGCAAGGCGATCTGTCGAGTGGCTAGAGTCCCGTTTATTGTTTTTGTTTTTTTCAGCCGGGGGAGGGGGGGGGGGGACGGCCACACCAGAGGATCACGGTCCGGGCACGATCGCGTGACTGGCTCAGGCGCGAGGTCGGGTTCCGGCGGGCGTCAGTCTGCCCGACGCCCTCAGGCCCGATGCATAACGGGCGAGGGGAGAGGGGCGAATGGATCGTTTTCCGCGACCACATGGCCGGTTTAAATCCGTAGAGTCAACTTCGAGTGCGTCTCTTGCGTGGTATGTTGGACTGCACCGCCCCTCACAGTGGAAGCCAGCTTCCCAGTCAAAGAGCGGTCTTTTGTGTCACCATCAATCGGAGAGGCTCGCAGATACAGTTCTGCGATCCTGTATGGGGAAATATTTTGGAGGTAGATCCTAGATCGGGAAATAGCCCGCATCGCGATGCGAATAAAGCGGCACGTGTCAACCATTCTGAAATTCCCTGACTAGTGCTCAGTGCGGAAAAAGGGCAAGACCCGTATCCGCCAGCTTCTCTGATGCATGGCCAAAAATGACAAGAGCAGCCCACAAAACCATTCGAATTTCAAGAAATAGGAAAGCCGTGACAAGAATAGTGGGCATAACCGTTTGAAGGTCGTGCTGAATTGGGAGGCTGCTGTTGCAGTGTGGGATGGCCGTTTCCATACACTACACAAACGGTGGCTCTAAGAGCGAGGCGGACCGGCTCGTCGACGAGAGAGTGAACCGACAGTGGCCGGCAATGGCACACTGCGACATGTCGCAGCAACAGGACACGGCAATACTTGCAATAATGGATTGGCTGGGGGAATGTTGATGATATATCCCACAACGACGCCTGAGACGCTTATACAGGTTGAGGGGAATTTATTTGTTCTCCTGGCGAGAGTGAATACTGTTGCTGGGTCGCTGTGGGGTCTGTCGTTAATACGCCATATGCGGGGAAGAAAGCGTAATGGTGACCACCACTGAAGCGAGCGTTTGTCTTTGGGGCGCATAAAAATTGGCTGCAGGAGATGGCATAGTTGCGTGCAACAAGCAGGGCTAGAGATGAGAACGAGAACTCAAGCGTAGAGGACAGTGACGAAGCATTGGGAGAACCTGGTCCTTGGAAGCCAACCTTATTACTGCGTTGGATTAGATCAAAGGGAACAATTGTTATACCGTTTGCGTGATTGCATTCGCATCGCAAAACCTGGGCTGTATCTCCCATCCGGCGACGAATCGTTCTTCAATTCGCTGTCAAGGCGGGAAGGATCCCTCAGTCAAGTTGTATGCCTTGAGCAATCTTAAATATGCTGAGACATAACACCCTCTACTTGAATACACACCGGGTCGGCCCTATCAGTGATTCGAGTGTTCTTCGGTGGTTGTTAAGTTCGCCGATAAAGTAACTTAAACTATGGTCAATTAAAAGTGCACCAACCACATGGCATAATGCCAGAGGAGTGATCAGTTTAGGATGAAGTAACTGTTCCCACTACCGCCATCGTCTGTTGTTTTGGTACGCACGAAATGTCTTGGTCTCTTAACACGAGCCCGGGTGGCCGGCTGGATACCCTTCGCTCGGGTGGGGGGTCAAGTTGCCCCCCCCCCTGAGATCTCGGAAACTAAGAGAGCTAGAAGCTCCAAATTCACGGGGTGTGTTGACCTGTATGTAAAATCACCTAAGTCAAAGTTTAAGGTTCCTAGATCATGACCTTCGGGTCAAATAAGGTCAAACGAGGCAAAATACCAGGTTGGTCCCTAAAACGCCCGTTAAGCCTAGGTAACTGTTCTAAACAAAAGGTATGCTCATTTAAGGTCTGACCTTGCTTGACCTTTTGAAGGCCATGGTGACCAAAATTATGCAAGATTGCTCAGAGTTTTGCATTTTAACAAGCAACAAAGATTACGCTAGGCAACATGTTCCTAAAAACACAATGTTGACTTGGGTCATTCTAGGTCAAGAACCTATTCTGACCTTTGAGAAGTCCATGGAAGGTATATAATGCGGTTTCTGTTATCAATAAATTCGAAATGAGCACCAAAAACTACCCCACACAGCAAGCCCAAGAGAAACAAAACAGGTCGGTTTTGACCTAGGTCTGATCTTCATACCTTACCCTAGGCCAATGTAATTTGTTCATTTAATTGTTGTGACCTAAGAAAGTATCTCAGAGATGTATAGCCTTGCCTAGCACTCCATTGTTGGATCAGACTGAACGATTCCCTAGAAGTTGCCTTCGCTGAAACCATGGCCTGACGTTGACCTGTCATGTGTCAGCGACCTTACAAGGTGCATCTTAATTTTCGATGCCAGACGATTCATTTTCAATTGTCTACGGCTGTATGAAATTGAGCGTCGCTACGCCGCGCCGTTCGCAAACCATTCTGGAAAAACCTCCGGGCGGTCAATTTGACCCCCCCCCCCGCGCGTGTTAAAGAGAAAATTCCACATTTGAAGATACTGAAGCAAGCATCAGATATGATGAAAGGTATGGAGAAGAATATGGCTTTGAACTGCATCGAGTGACATTCAAGATGACTATTTCAGCTCAAAACGACATACAAATGTGAAACACTTCAATCTGCGGCTGTCATTAGGTGTTATGGGATTCCCGAAAAGGACTGGATGATGTTCAATTTCAGTCATGTACGCGTCAACCAGAATGTTTTTTTCTGGATTCGTGGCGATTCGAACTGAGACTTCAGCATGAGAGTCCGACGCTCTACTGTTGAGCTGAGCATTGTCGGCCAAAGTCTGAAAGAAGATCTCGGCATTCTCCGTCAGCCGCATGGGCGAGATCGCGTGTTGGCACGTTAAAGAGAATGTTCTACATTTGAAGGCGTTGTAACAAGCATCAGATTTGGTGAACCAAGCTCACTCATAACTATTGGTATACGTTTAAGTAGAAAGGGCTGCTCTTGATAGCACAGCTTCTCTGGTTAGTAAATATGCTCCACACTGTGTCATTGTTTTGATTGCGTCGTCGTACCTCGCACTGCATTGATTGAAAGCAATTGAGGGCTTTTAAATCTGAAAATCGTGCTCACGAACGCCACATATAAATGAGTGGACAATTACATTTTTCGTGGCCTTGATCGTCGCATGGAAACTGGAACGACAGAATTTGAATGACATTAGTGTAGCGTCAGGGATGATGACATTAAAATAGTCTTCACATCTTCGCGGGCGTGTAGCTTAGAAACTAGAGGAGTTTAGGTCTGAAGAAGGGCAGAGCTTTTAACTGCACTGAATAATCTTCAAGATGACGATTTCTTTCGAAAACTCCATACAAATGTGGGACACAAAGGGAAACACCATAATGACTGGTGTTAAATGGGACAACATTTAGTGGGATAACATAAACAGTGTTGGAATTTTCTACTGTAGGACGCTCCATTTAGAGGGCTTTGCACATTACAACTTTTCTAAGCAGTCTCGCATGACCTTCTTTTTCAGACCTATTTGTACTAAGGGCTTCAGTGTCACCCGAAGAGAGATAGAGAGGGTGGGGAGGGGGCGGCAAGACAACAGTTTTATTTTTTTGCTGCGTAATTTTTGTGTTACAGTGGCATAGCGTTGATGCTGCATTTTGAAAGGATGAAGTGACTGCTCCCTCTCCTTCGTTTGCCCACTCCTCCCTCCCCAGTCCCGCATCCGCTGACCCAGCTTGAAGGTAAACGTGCCTTCCGAGCTGTTTTTTAAAGCCAGAGATATGAGGACATTTTCTCGCCACGCTCCCATCGTCTCAAAATGCAGGTTCCCTTTCGAATTGCTCGTATAATTATAAGGTAGCCTGTGTATTTGATCCGCACGTGGCTGTAGCACACGACGTCATAACCATTTCCCCACGCCGGGGGTGGAGTCAGCGGCCCCGTGCAGCGGCGCCGGCCCGTCTCGAACCCGCCTCCGACAGCATCTCCACCGGCCCGCAGGCAAAACCACAGCGAGATTGAGAAGCGGCGGCGCGACAAGATGAACTGCTACATCTCTGAGCTGTCGCAGCTCATCCCCATGTGCCAGTCGCGCAAGCTGGACAAGCTGACGGTGCTGCGCATGACGGTGCAGCACATGAAGATGCTGCGCAGCTCCACGCCATCGGCCATCGAGGGCAAGTTCAAGCCGGCCTTCGTCACCGACCAGGACATGAAGAGGCTCATCCTGCAGGTGACATCCGTGGGGGGCGGCCATCGAGGCGGCGACAGGCCGCGCGGCCGTGCCGCTCCTGCTGGAGGGGGGAAGGGGGTCAGCGTGCAGCATTGAACGGCATAACATGGCAGCACCTCTGGGACGGTGGTTTCGAGACACCTGCGCACCTAGCGGCTCTTGTTGGGAGTCGCGAGCACCGCTCAGGAGCTCCAGAGTCGCAATGTTCAGTTTGTGGGTTATTAAAATTTTCGAACTTTTTGGAGTGGTTTTGCTATGAAAGCTTAATTTTGTGTGTATGTTGCGCCGCGCAGTGAGCCAATACTGACATCTTCACCTGTGATGGCTCATGTGCTGTGCCGTTATAAGTGACGTCCTCCCCATCTGCGCGTATGAATGTTCCTTGGCCGTAGCTCTCAGCCTGTGGGGACATCATCACCAGTGTGCCTCGCTGGGATTGCATCCTGCTGTCTGGAGGTCGTCGCCCGTATCGGTCGTGCTTCGAGAGCTGTGCAGACATCGCTCACTCTGTTCCAGGCCGCCGACGGCTTTGTCTTTGTCATAGGCTGTGACCGAGGCCGCGTTCTCTATGTGTCCAAGTCGGTGGAGAATGTGCTTGACTTCTCCCAGGTGAGGCCACTGGTCGGGCAAGCCGTTCTTGCGGTCGGTTCATACCGGGCTCTCCTATTGATAGTACGCTGTGGTGGACTCGGATCACGTTTGCTCGCGACGGTTCCCCCCCCCCCCCGCATTATGTGCACGGCTGTAGACAGATATTTACTGGAAGCCGCGTTCCTTTAATTGTGTGCTGGTTAGTGCGGGCGACTTTATTGATTTATAGGTGGCAGGTAAATTAATTCCTTGATGTCTGGGCCTAGCATTGTTCGTTGTCAGCATCGGAAGATGCAACACAATTTTGCGCTCACGATGAAATCCATGCGCTCATGGCGAGCATCTTCAGGATCAGCATCATCATTACCGTCATCACCCCCATGGTCTTCCTCAGCCTGATCGTGATGGTGTGTCGGCGGCGATGTTCGCGCGTGTTGCTTGGCGACGCTCCGCCAAGCCAGGCCGGTGTAGCCACCTCAGCTTCTGTGTTCCGCCCCAGGACGACCTCATTGGTCAGAGCCTGTTCGACATTCTGCATCCTCGCGACATCTCCAAGGTGAAGGAGCAGCTAGCCACCTCCAACCTCGCGGCACGCAGCCAGATCATCGACTCGAAAAGTCAGTACTGAGGAGCCGCCCCGTGGCGATCACGGCGGGGCTGGCTGGGCGTGGTCGACATCAGAAGCTCATTATCAGATTGTTAATGGCAACTTGGTCCTAAATATTCCTCTCATTCTAAAATTATTTGGGTGTCTTTGGGTTCAAGTCTTCTTCCATACCCCATTTACCAGTTCAAGTGATACCGAGGCTCAGCTGGGAATGCTGGCGATGTGTCTTACATGCTCCACTTGTGTAGACTGCCGACTTGATGCCGCACCTGCCGTCGCGCACGTCGCTCCGCCCTGCCCGCCGAGCTGCCGCTGGCGGCGCGGCACCCCGCCCGCCCCTGGAGGCGCTGACGAGGGCCACTGTGGGCGCCGACAGCCATGCTGCCAATCCCGACGAGCCTGCCGAGCGACGCCAACAGCCTGTGTCCGGGCTCGATGCGCTCCTTCTTCTGTCGCATGAAGTGCGGCGGCGGGGGCGGCGCCGAGGACGGTGACGCGCCGCCCGGCCAGCGTCGCCGGCGGCGTTTCTCCGCCGCCGGAGGTGGGTCCCCCGCGCCGCGTCGTGCCGCGCCGCGCCTCGCCGCGGCGGCTGACGTTGCGCGGAGGTCCGCGCTGACACCGTGCTGTAGAAGCGCATGACACCGCGTGAGGTTAAGGTGTTCGGATGGATTTTCAGTGCGACAAAAGGAGCTTATGTGCACATTCAGCACGTCTTGTTTATCACCTTGCGCCTGCCCTGTCGGGATTGACAACATTTTTTTCGACAACCAGGCTTGCGATTGGTATAGCAAAAGTGGAGTCTCTGCAGCAATTTTTTTAAGCAGTGCGAGAGCCAGTAGCGAGACGGCACCATGCGGAATCCTGTCATGTTTGGTTTTTGTACCATGCACTTTCTGTGTAGTGATCTAGCCGATCCTTGGCCCACCCGCCCAATATCACCGCTGAAAATGAAGCGGAGACACTGCCTCGCTTCGCATCGCAGTGTCGATCCGAGGAGCGCTTCGTGGTGTGCTGGCCGTCAGCCTGTGTTGCCAGCCCCTCACTCGGCTGGCGTCCGGCTCGTGACGCGACCTGCCACGGCACATATGTCACCGCTGCTGACCCTTGCCGGCAGACAAGCGGTTCAAGATTGTCCACTGCGTCGGCTACCTGAAGGCCTGGGTGCCATCCTCCGGCGACGTGGGCAAGGAGCCCGACGAGGACGGCTGCAATCTCTCCTGTCTGGTGTGTGGGCCGTTTGGTTAACGCCCCGTCTGCAATTTTTAAGTTAGGGCTAGACTTTGGCCTTCAGTCATTTCGCAAATGCTTCGAGGCGAGGCTTTTTTGACAGTGGCATGCCATCAAATTATAAAGTAGAAATGTTGCACTAGGCGCAGCCATGACGGCCGTGTGTTGCCCGCTCTCTAAATGTCACTGCGAGTGACTGGTTCAGCAGCATCAGATGAAGGGCGTCGGCCGGGTGGTCACATGCTGTCGCCGCCGTGCCGACCGGGTGGTCACGTGCTGACACGGCTGTGTCGGCCGGGTGGTCACGTGCTGTCGCCGCCGTGCCGACCGGGTGGTCGCGTGCTGACACGGCTGCGTCGGCCGGGTGGTCACGTGCTGACGCCGCCGTGCTGATTGGGTGGTCACGTGCTGACACGGCTGCGTCGGCCGGGTGGTCACGTGCTGACGCCGCCGTGCTGACCGGGTGGTCACGTGCTGACACGGCTGCGTCGGCCGGGTGGTCACGTGCTGACACCGCCGTGCTGACTGGGTGGTCACGTGCTGACACGGCTGCGTCGGCCGGGTGGTCACGTGCTGACGCCGCCGTGCTGTTCGGGTGGTCACGTGCTGACACGGCTGTGTCGGCCGGGTGGTCACGTGCTGACGCCGCTGCGTTGGCCCGGTCGCCTCAGGTGGCCATTGGCCGACTCTACTCCAACATGGTGGCCGGCCCGCTCGATGCCGGCAGCTCGCGGCCACTCGAGTTCTTCTCGCGCCACGCCAACGACGGCAAGTTCCTCTACGCTGACCAGAGGTGAGCACGCCGCCACCGAGAATGTCGGGCGGTCGGCGAACCGGAGCGAGGTCATTGGCCGGCCATGGCACCCCTGACTGCGAGTGCCGTACAGTGTGTCATGTTTCACTGCTCCTTCGACGCTGACCGCTGTCGGAGACGGAGACGTCACTGGTCCTAACAGCTGCTGCTGGCTTCGGGAAATCATTAAGCGGCGGTGTGGTTGGCACGGCTGGTGTCGTTGAGACCTGTGGTGGTGGTTGAAACGGATGCGCATGTGTATCTGGTAGATGGCTGAGAAAGGTCTGTGACCTTTTGCAGTCATGCCGCTTAGCTCTCTTCCCGCCGATGCAGTCGGGTTTGTGATCACATGAACTATCCGGGTTAGCCCAGCTGTTAACTGGTTGTAGTTCAGGGGTCGTCATCATGGTGTAAAGCGTCGTGCTATTTCACATATTCGGCCTGGTATTTGTCCGTTACACGGTCGACCGCTAGGAGCAGTAGCATACTGTGACCCCCTCCACAGGGTGACGCTGGCCCTGGGCTACCTGCCGCACGAGCTGATCGGCACCAGTATCTACGAGCTGTGTCACCCGGACGACATCGCGGGCATCGCCGACACCCACCGCCACTGCCTGCGCTCGTCTGCCGGCGAGACCCAGGTGGGATAACGGCCACCTGCGGCGCGAGCGCGGCCGCCGCGCGTCGCCAGCATACCGGCCAATTAGAGGTGCGCCGGCGCGGGGCCTTATTGCGGCCGTCGTCAGGGCGGGTTAGAACGGCGAGCGGCGAGGCTCGTTCGCCGTCGGTGGCGAGCGAGCACTAGCGTTGTCTGACGTGGTTGCTTGTGTTGCGCTGACGGGAGTCTTGTTTCTCCTGAAGACATGCGCGTGGGCTGTGGGCTGGTATATTTCCATCTGTGTGGCCGGGTCGTAGGCCGGTGGCGGGCTGGGGAGTTTCCATCTGTGTGGCCTCCGTCTGTGTGACCGGGCCGTGGGCCGGCAGCGGGCTGACAGGAACAATGTTGACTTCTTCAACCTGAACGACCTGTCCCGTCCAAGCGGTCGTGCTTTCGAGCGGAACACGGATTGCCGCTTATTTTCAAATGGGTCCCAAATGCCATCGGTTCTGGCGCACGCCGAGAGGCCATGGTGCTACAGATGCGTGCTGACTGGTTCGCTCTTTAAAAGCCTTCCGAAATACGTTTTTCTGAGTGTTTTGGTTACAGTCAACAAAAACGTAAATTGGTACAATTGCCAAATGTTCCGCTTGGATTCTGCATCTCTTCGTCCCTTGCCGGCGTCCCGTTCATGAAAGATAACATTCCAGCGGATTGGTCAGACCCAATTGTACGGGTCTCAAGGAACTGTCACCCCAGTTGTGTAGGCTTTGTTGTCTTCACGTCTTTTCAAACTCGTATTTGTCACCATGTTGCTGATTACACGCCAGGACAAGGCGTCTTACTGCGTATAATGGTCCTGAATCACCGCTGCGCTAAATCATGGGAGTGAGAATAATCATATTGTGCAATCGCACGTTTACGGCAGTGACTCTGGCTCTCCTAGATCACGGCAGATAACAATTGATGTTTCCGTTCCGCCTGGTAATGGTATCGCAGTCGTGTAGCTTTTGAAACATTTTGACAGAAGGCCGGCTAACATAGCGTACTGTAAACTAGAAGACAACAAATAAGAAACGACATTTTGATATCAAATTATGCCAGCTGACAAATGACATTTGACAAGGGCTTGCCACATCGAATTTATGTGTGCGCTGCCTTCCTGGTCAAATCATAGCGCGTCACATGATACCGGGATCTTACGGATGAAAATGAACACTGACATCCTCCTGTCTCTGGAGAGGGTCGGTAGCCTTGCAGGATCACATTTCGCAAGGTTTGAAGCGTCGTGGCAACCCCGTTTTGTTGTACGTGGCAAGAATCGCCACGGACTCCTGTCATGTTGTTTCATTGGTTGCAGGTGTACAAATTTCGTGTCAAGAATAACTCTTTCGTCACGGTGCGGACCAAATGGAAAGCGTTCAAAAATCCTTGGACGAAGGAACTCGAATACATATCAGCATCCAACCAAATCATAAACTCCAGGTGAGTGAAATGTTGAATGAAAAATGAAAACCAAAGTGAACGAAATGTGAAAAACTGGAATGTCTGCTTGAACCAGAGGCCACCATTTGGCTTTCACCTGTGGCCGTGCTGTTCCGTACATTTTTAGTTTCCGCGATTTGTCTCGTGTCGTACTTTTGGAATCTGGCGACTCGGCACCTGAGATGCATCAGTGACAACAAGTTGAGTACGGACACAGAGCGTCAGCTGTTTCCGTCCCGGCCACGAATTTGAGCGCAGCAACCATCGACGGCATGTAGGCGGTCTCAGAGATGGGTACAACGTTCGGGGAACATGTAGCAGAGCGGCCCGTGCCTGTTGACCACACAACACCAGGGACCGCCCTGCGCAGTGGTCGCCAGCAGTTGGGACGGCAGCGCGCACTGAAGCTGACCCACTGAATTGACCCACTGAAGCTGCGTGTCCCTCCACCAGCCGGGCCGAACGGTCTCACGAGTGCCGACGTCTCTTGTGTCTGCACCGCCCGCCACCCATGGCTGTACGTTCCGGTCCACACAGCCCACACAACCTGGTGCTCTGCGCCCGCTCCCTGACGCTTCGTTTGCGTCTTCCTGTTCTGATCCGCCGCCATTTCCCCCGAGTGGAGGCGGAAAGGCGCCTCACACTGCTTCGGCCAAGTCCGCACCTGTGTGTAGACCCCCCCCCCCCCCCCCGTGGCCGCCGCGCGGAGCTGTCACCGGGCCGTGCTCCCCCAGCCCTCTGCGCTTCTCGGGGTTATACTGCCTGCCCGACGCCGGCCCCAACGACGCCCTGTCGGCCTTCTCTCCTCTGCGTCCGGACGACCGCTGCTCCGATCCAGGTGCGGACGGCGGATGCGCCCCACCCCCGACGGACGGCACCAGGTGGCCGTGGGCGGCTCTGCAGGGCACGGGGCGAGCTCGATCTGAGACGGTCTCGGGGTGCCGTCACATGCGCAGCATCCGAGACGCCGTCTGGACCGAGGCATGATCCGTTGAGCCTGGGCTTAGGGGATGCCATTGGCTGGGGAAATGTGAGAGCACACGATCTATGTAGGGGATGGTAGTTTGGTTCTTGTGTAGATGCGAATGTTTGAAGTTTTTTCGAAACGTGAACGGCTTATTATGTGATTCATCGCGGCAGTTCATAATAGCTGTTCATTGATTGAAGATCTGCCGATTTCGAACCGTGCGTCGTTCAACTGTCGCCTAGTCACTTGCTTGCCACACAGCTTCCAAAATATGTGCCTCCTGCACATGTTACATTTCGAGGCAGTCTGCTTCCGCCCTTTTGCAATAATGACTGGCATTAAGGCCAAGGATGACCCGAGCTGGTCCGCCTATGTTTGATGTGTGTTTCTCGCTGGACTCGCGTAACGTGCCGTAGGTGGCCCTGGATCGGTGGAACCTGCCGGTAAATTCGACAGCATCAGTGCCAGCAAGATCGGCCGCCGCATAGCAGATGAGGTGGGCTGTGATGATTCGACCTCTGCTACACTGTTCCCCCTCCCCCCTCCCCCCCCCCCATCAGGCGGGCTATATGTTTTAGCTGGATGCCGGATTCTAGTTCGTTCCTTCTCGTGCAGTCCGGTATGCTTCGCGTTTGGTCCTTATTTGCTGTATTGTGCATTTCCATTTTCAAGTATTCACAGCTTTCATCTCCAAGCATTTCTCAATATTTTTTTTGGTTTTAATCAGCCTTGGTTGTCTGTAACTCTGGAGTAGAGTGATTTTGGCTAAAGGCTTTCTAGCATTGTGTAATACTCGTGCTTTGGACGAAACGGCGATATACATTTCCGTTTCACGGCGTGAATGAGAGTGGAAAGCCCGGTATGACTTTCCACACGCTGACCATGCATGCCAACTTCCGTTGCGCCATAACGGTTCAGCCACAATGTCGTGGAGGTCTGACCGAGTGGAAGCATCGGCTGGTGTCACCTGTTCTGTCATCCTGTCAAGTGGGACTTGCTGTAGTCGGACCGGCTGGGCGGGTGGGCCGTCCGATCCGGCCCATGTGTGGCCGTCCGTTGCGCTGGGCTCTAGGGCCGCGCGCCGTCGGCCTGCCCGCTGACCGACGACGACTGGCCGTCTGCCAGATGCTGGACTGCAGTCGGCGTCCGTTGCCGTTGCTAGCCTCCGCCAGCCCGGCCTCCAACGTCGAGGCCCTGTTTGACACCATTCGGGAGAACTCCAACTCCGGCTCGGCTCTGTCCGATAACGTGAGCTGGCACGGCGCGAGGCGTCGACGGGCCGCCACCTGATGGCGCCGCCGCCTGTTGGGCTGTGAAGGCATGGCGCTTACTGGGACTACTCCCGGCCATGTCTCGGAAACACAGGCTGTCCAATGTTCGACACGTCCTGTCCTGTGCCAACCGAGTGCGTGCATTGATTGAGAAATGCTCAGCGACATTCGTCCATCTGTTTCTCCACATGCATTTTTAACGGCGTATTTTACGTTCGCCCGCCCGTCACTTTCGCGTTTTATTGTCCCTCTGTTGTTGCAACCGGGACCTCAATTTGTTCTTTGCCCAGCGCCTGGGTCCGCTGAGCTTCGGTGCGTCCACAGGAGGACGTGCTGCTCGATAGTCATCAGCTGCTGACGCAAGTGATGCAGGACTCAACGGTCGAGGCGCCGCCAGCCGGCCAACCGCCCTGCTATGGCCGCGACGCGCCACCCCCGCCGCCACCGCCGCCGCTCCCGCCGCCACCACCACCGCCGCCGCCTCCCCCGCTTCCGCCGCCGCCTCCTCCACCCGCCCGCAAGGGGCTGGCGTCTTCACCGGCGCCGACGGCAGCGGCGGCGCGCAGCCCGGCTGGCGCAGACTCGCAGGAGGACGAGGCGGCGATGGCCGTCATCATGTCGCTGCTGGAGGCGGACGCCGGCCTGGGTGGCCCGGTTGACTTCACCGGGCTGCCCTGGCCGTTGCCGTAGCTCTCGAGGCGGCCGCTCAGGCTGGGACCCACCTCTGTGGAGAGCCAAGCTAGCCCGCCGCTGGCGTCTGCAGCGGGCCATGCTTGCGTTATTTTCGGTGTACGCTAGAGGCGCACGAGACGGACATGTTCAGGGAGATTGGGCGGATTATCAGGCGTTGTCGCGACGGTGCGAGGAAGAACCCCTCGCCCCCCGGCAGCGTCCTAGGCCCGAGAGGCAGCCGCTCAGTCACTGCGGTCGTCTCCTCCATTGGGGTGGGGGTGGCATAGCAGCCCGCGGCCGATGAGCCCAAACACTGCTTGGATGGAGACGGCTACCTCACTGCGGACGGCCAGCGGTGATCCGACCAACGTCCGGACGACCCGCCGTCGTTGGCGCGTGATACTTGCCAAGGGAGACGGAATACCGAGCTGAGGTTGGCTCGTTTTGTGCCGGCTCCGTCAGCTCGCGGGCCCGTCCGTCCGTTGTATGAGGGAGTGATCGCTCTTCTGACCGCCCTTTCACTGGACTGGGGCTCAGTATTCAGACTAGGATTTCTGACACTCAGAACGCAAATCTACTCCAATGTATTTGCGTACTCATTGCCCACACATTTCCGAAAACAACTAGTATCGGTGAGCGGGAGGTATTTGTCATTGGACTGCGATCGCTAGCTGCCAGCTGGCGCACAGGACCGGGGTAACGATGATTCTGGATGCGTTTTGACGATCCGAGCAGGCCGTTTGGAGGACATGTTTTGTGCTGTGTTCCGGGCCATGAGTCAACATATCATGCAAGGATTGCAGCTGGACAACTACCCCATTGAAATTCCTATGTGCTCTTTCGTGGTTGCTCTGGATGTCGATAGTAAATGCAAGACTATTTCGAGGGGAAGAGAGCTGATGATATTATTGTCCTCGTTCGCAGGGCGTGTGCAGCTCGCGTGCGTGGTCTGTCGTTGTCGGCTGTTATCGTCAGGATTGCGGAGGCTACCTGGGGCTGTCCGGCCCGCCCGTTCTCGTTCGCACGGGAACCTGTGATCGTAGGGGTAAGACGTGGAGATACTTGCTCACTTGGACATTCTGCAGTTCAAATGCCTGGCCGCCCTAACGCGCTTTCGTGGCGCATGACGGTGGGAGCGGCCGTGTTTTCGCCTCTCAGGGAGTGGGGTGGCTTCGCCAGGCCGCCTGGTTGAGACCAATTACGAACGCTGCTGTGCCGAGCGGACGCCTCTTCTCCTCGGTCGGCGAGACCCGCCGGCAGTGCTCACTGGACTGGGGTGTGGCCAGGTCACGCTCCGCGCTACGCTCCTCACCCGTTGCGAACATGTTTTGCGAATAGCTAGCAAAATGCAAAGGGCGGCGCATTGCTGATGCGCAAAATTATATTCCTGCCACTCCCTCCAAGTTGTAACACTGGGTTTAGCCGTTGGTAGTGAACACGGTGTAGGTGCGGTCGTGCTGCGGCGGATTTCGGCTTCTTTGCCGACGTAATTGAGGGCGTACATTCCTAGTTTATTGCCGTGCCTAAGTTAGAACGGCGAGATGTCTAGCATCGTTCCATAAAGATAAGCTATATCCCTTGAATTGTCTAGTCGGCGGGGCTGGTGTCAGCACGCTGTTGGAACGGTGGCCTCCGCGGGTGGCGCTCTTTCACTGGCGGGTCGCCTCGGGGCAGCAGGCGTCTGTTCCGGGGGTCGGTTGTGAACCAGTGCCAGCGTGCGTATCGTAACGACCGGCTGAGCTCGGGCCGGTCAGGCCGTGCCGGTCGGCGGCTCGTGGTGGCGGCCAGGCGCGGCCGAGGGTCAGGGCCGCGGACGGGAACAGCTGTCAGCTGCGCCCCGGCAGCGGCGCGGCTGACAGCGACGCCCGGTTGTCGGCTCCTATTTGCTGACGGTTGGCGGCTACTGTTCAATGACGGCTGTCGGCTTCTGTTTGCTGGCGGCTGTCAATTATCGTGTATGGCGACGATCGACTGCTGTTCACTGACGGCTGTCGGCCACTGTCCATTGACGGCTATCGGCTACTGTTCACTGACGGCAGTTGACGGCTGTCGGCTACTGTTCACTAACAGCTGGCGGCTACTGTTCACTGACGGCGATCGACTGCTGCTCACTGACTACTGTTGGCTGCTGTTCACTGGTGGCGCTAGGCGGATCAGACAAGGCTATCGCCGGGCCGTCCGCTAACGACGCTGGGCGCCCGAGGGTTATCAGGCACACGTCTGTCACCGCTGAAGAATTGGAACTTACACTGCTGACGATGCTAATGACGGATGATGCCGTACTGCCGCTGACTGTTGGCGACAACGTATACTTGACGGGAACCGCTGGGAGTGAACCGGCCGTCTTCAATGGCAAACGTCGGAGCGGCTGGCGATAATGAACGCTGGACGTTTTTTCGAAACGTCAGAACATCTTTGATTGGTTGGTTTTGGGACCAGAGCCCGAGCCAAACAAGGCTTACGTTTGCTCTGACCTCACCAATCTGATCATGAAATTCCGGTTTGATGGCAGAAGTTTGGGGCGAAAGTTGAACGTCCCGGGGTGCTGGGCGCCGTCCGCCGCGCCCTCTGACCCGCTCAGACTTTGAGCAGGCGCCTTGCGGCTGACAGTGTCCAACTCCCAGTGACAACGTTGACACCAGCGCGGTCCCTTTCGCCGCGCTATGACCCGCTGCCGACTGTTGGGCGTTTCTCCTTACCCGCGGATAGCCGCCAGGAGCTCAGCAATTCCGCCGCCTGCACGGCCGCTGCGGCTGCTGGGCCACACCAGTTATCACAGGAAGTTGCCTCGGGGAGCATTTAGCCCAACTCGCCGCAGTGTGGCCGGACAGATGTAGCGTCGCGCGGAGCTATGGGTGCGTACATTCGGGCCTCGTGCTCCAAAGTTTTGGGGCTAGAATCTTGGCTCGTGCGTCATATACTTGTATCTGGACTTAACCTACTTTGGTCACCACATATTACATTGTGTATCATTGTTGATGTACTGTGTTGTGAGTCGTATTTGCGTTTACTCGACTGGGTGTATCAGTGTGCGTCCGCCGTGCGTCAGCCGCGGGTGGTAAGTGTTACGTGTTTCATGTCGGCATGCCCTGCAGTGCCGCCTGTCTTGGAGTGTGCAATATGTTACTAGTTTTGGTTGGTTCATGCGTTCTGGCCGCGTAAGCCGACATTTGCGCATGCACTGTGTGCGCAGCTCGGCGCTGCGGTCAAAGCCGGTACAGACCTTAGCGGGGCGATGGCGGCGAGGCAGGCCTCAACATCAGTACAGCTACGTATTACGCGAAACGCGGCCGGGGAGTGTTGGTTTGAACCGTGCGTTGGTAGAACGCACTTTCCGCTTGGTATTCGCGCCCATCGGGCTGAGAGCACACGATGTTGGTGACGTTCACATTGGTCAGGCTTCTGCCGTTCTATCCGTTCGATATCGCTACATTTGTCCGCGATTGCATGTATCGCGCATGCCTTCAGTATGGCGCCGGCGGACGCATCATCGGCGCGACGCGTGGCGCGAACGTCGGCGCCCTCCTGCCGGTCTCGGCGCGCCGCCACAACCGTCCAAACAGATATCAAAACAATGCTCACGTGACGTCAGGGGGCCCGCACCTCTCGTGGTCCCGTTGTGCATGATCCAGGAGCGAAACGCGAGCTGGGTTCGAGTCGTGGTCGTTCAGCCCAGACGTTGGCGAGTATTTTTCCATGTTCTGTCACCTCCAGCGTCTCTTGGTCAGCCGGTGGACAAATACAGGTGTGGCGCATGGTACTCCGTGTTGTCTTCAGAATCGGTCCACATAGTGAGCACATGTGACGAAACGGCTGAGGGTGTGTGAGCTGCCCAAAGGCGCAACGCACCGGCACGGGTCCAGAAGTGACAAACGTTCAACGGCAGCATGCAGCGCTTGTGTCTAAAAAACAAATACCCTCAACATGGCAACAATGTCCGTGACTACTGTGACAACAACCGCCGCGGAGTACTATCTCGGAGAGCGCGTACCCATCCCGTGCCCCGATTCCATCCGCCGCACCAACGCACCGCGCCGCGAGTCCGCGTCAGCGCGCGCACACAGCCGACTTGTCGACCGCGCCTGTAACACAGCAGCCTGGCCATCACATGGTCCGTCGGCTCCGGTCCCTGCCCTCCCTCGGCCCACCGCGCCTGCCACCGCCCCTCGGGGCCGGATCTGGCAGATACAGCTCCGCCTCAGCGTCCGGCTCGCGTTTGATCCGCTTCTTGCGCGGGCTGGAGTCGGTGTCGGCGTACCGCTCCCGCCGCGACCGGTCCGCGTCCCGGCACAGCGTGTCGTTCGCGTCGGCTTCCGAGCGTCGTTTCCTCTTGCGCGGCGTGACATCAGCGCCGGGCGGCGGCGGCGCGTCCACCTCCGCTCGTGACCGCTTCCGGCGGCGCCGGGACGTGTCGGGCGGGGTGGGCGAGGAGGGGCTCACAGCGGCCGGTACGTCATCGTCGATGGACGAGAGGCCCGAGTCGGGCTCGGCCCGCGGTGGCGCGTCCTCGTCGAACCGCATGTGGGACTCGGACGACGCTGTGCTGGCCTCCAACGATACACTGAAAAAGGCGAATGATCAGCTTGCTTGGAGGGCGCAAACTGACAGCTAACTGAAAATTCATGGTCGCAAAGGTACGAGTTCTAGTTTCATGATGACCGGATTACAGAGAATGACAGGAGATTACGAGCACTTCAGCTTTGAAAAGGAAGCTGGAGCAGCAACATTTTTATAAACATGAAGCGTGCTGTGACTCACCTCGACGCAAGGCGCCAATAAGCAGCAAGACGTGTTCACCAAGTTGAAAATCGCCGAGACACAGTCTACACAATGACAGACCTCCCAAATGATTTTTGGGCTGGGGTACTAGAATGGCAACTTAGTGGTTGTATTCTCATGATATAAGACACCTGGCGAACAATATCGACAAGCTGTAGCGGGCCCAAGCATTCTAACTCGTCGACGCCGGAGAAGCTGAATCGAAGATAGCCTGGCAGGCAAAAGTAATCTGCAACCTCCGGGCTAACAAACGCCACCTATCGCATTCCAAATTGGGTACGCAACATACAACTGTCATCCAACATCTCCGCGGTTCTCAGATTGCTATCGAGTGTCATACCGTAGTGCGGACAGCGTAAAACGTTCGAGTGAAGGCGTGGAGGGATTCTTTATATACAGAGAAAACCGAGCAAGTCATTTCTCCTCATAATGGGCTTGCAGGATCCACATGTCATCTCACACGGCACTGCGGGCCACAACAGTGAGATCAAACAGGAGCCACAACGAAAGGCGTATTTCATGAGCGGAAAGAAGAAGGCAACCTCGCCTGTCCGCGTTCAGGACGCCCATCACACACGGGATCTGAACTTGCCTGTCTGCGTTCAAGACGCCCGTCACACACGGGATCTGACTGAGAAGGTCGACCTTCTCAATGGTGAAGGAGATATCCTGGTGCAGCTGGACGCTGTTCCTGAGATGTGGCGGAAACCTCACGAACACGGTGAACACCTTGTTCGTCAGACACGTGGCAGTGACGCCGGACTTCGTCAGGACCGTTCCTGCAGGACGAGGGACACATGGGACCGACTCGAGGTCTGCTCCGGGGTAGCCACACCCGAGTTTGTAATGTCTACCGCGACACCGCCCAGCGCAGGCATGCGATTTAGAGCAGCCATTGCGGGAGCCAGTGCTCCCTATTGGAGCCGCGGAAATGATATGGAGAGTATGATTCTCTCCCACCACCATGCTGGTCCAGAACAATAAAAGTACACTACCTTGACTGCCACATGCCGTCAGCAATAGCAAATGACCAGCAGCTTAAGAGCTTTCTTAGTTAGATCAAATAACAGCATGCTTTAAACCAGCACCCTGAAACACACCACCAAAGTGCTTTGATGGGGAACAAAGCAACTGTCCCTGGACAAAAAAAAACCCACATTGGCATGGTGATGTGCAAATGTTCTCTGACACAGATCAGCATCCCATTTACAGCGACGCAAACATGTCATGGCATAAAACTGATGCATTGCTAGTAATAACTCTGCTCAACAAAATGCAGTGCCTAGTGTTACTGCATACTCTGGGATAAATGTGGTGGTGGCCTTCTCAGATAACCTAGACAGCAGTTGACAAATCTTACCTGTCAGAACTCCCCCTACCTGGGGGTTAAACACATAGAAATCAGCCTTGACATTAACATGGATGTGAAAGTAGCCTGGTATCATGTGACCACCATTGCCCAGCAGAGCAACATTATCATAGCCAACCAGGATTCCATCCAGTCTGAAAAAAGACAAAAAATCAGTCAGGTAGGTTATACATGGTGATTTTTGTCATTTAGTTTTGATTATGAACATGTACCAGTAGATGATATGATGAGTGAATTTCCTTTGAACTCCAGGCAGGCAACATATAATCTATGGTGGTCGACTGCTGTTGCATGGTAAATCACAATGCATATAGGTTTTGACACTAATAAGCATATCTGTGGCACCGGAAGTGTTATGACCATGTCATGGATTACTCAAGCCTGTTAAAATCATGTCATACTCAAGACTTTTTGGTGCTTTCTCAGGATTTCTTGAACTATATATGCAACACAACTTTACTTTGGTTGTTCAACAGCTCTGAAAAACCATGTGCTTCAAAGAGTATCAAAACAGGTGGTTCACGGCAATCCTTTGCCCCACTCTTACTATGTAGCCTACTTTATAACTACAGTGATATGAATCATCAGGTTAAAGATGGTTGTGAATGTCAACTTTCATAATGGAAAGGCTGGTAGTCCTTGGAAGGCCATTCATTTCCAGAATAGTAATGATGATGATTTTTATGGTTCATAGTAGAAACCACACTAAGTGTAAGTGTCCACAATTCAGATCTAATTTTGTATAAGCAGTCCCTAACAGACCCGGCAGAACAGCAATCAAGAGATCTGGTCAGGTGGATGGAACCAGGTGGTAACTACTTTGAACTCCAGGCAGACAACATTAACAAGCTGTGCTACTTTTCTCATCTATTTCAAAATTACTGTGCTGCTTGTGATGGAACAAGTACAAAACAGAGCAAACAGTCATATATGTACAAGGCACAAGTCTGCATGTAAGTTACAATGAGTGGTGATCAAACATTAGCTGAGAGCAAGTTTGCAGGAGACCTGGCAGTCACTGTCATGCTTCCAGACAGTAAGTTTCCTGACAGTCTGGTAATACAAGGCATTGAGAACTAACAGCATACTACCACTGGTTTAGATATCAGAAGCCACAACACTGAGTTAACTCCAGTACAAAACATTATGTCTTTTCTGGCCTCCATGATCTGTATTACCCAGACATTTAACAGTATCATATCTTTATCTGAATGCTGTACATCATGTTATGAAAATCAAGTATCATAAGCCTACTACAAGCTTCTGGCATGCCATTTTACTGTAACCAAACAGATCACTGTAAAATCCCTATTGTTATTGTTACCTACATTTTGCTTTTACAATCCACAAAAGCTGAAAAAAGTGATCCTTTGTAGCCACACACAAAGTTTCACAAAACAAAGTAGGTGCTAGACAGGGAAATGGCCGAACCTGTCCCAAAAGACAAAAAAGTCTCTCCAAATCACACAATGTATGAACCAAACAAAACTTATACTGCTAGCCATACCATCACAAATATTGCTGTTATGCTGACAACTGCAATTACAATATTATGTCACACATTCCAGCACTTTTTGTCAGGAGCATACATTCTAATGTATACTTCCAGACTAACAACAGTCAATATTATCTTGGCATACTGTCTGAGACTTCTTCAAACTAATTCATACATACCAAATATCAAGTAATGAGTCGTCATATAGGTTGAATGCTGTTTTATACTGTACACATTTTTACATATACTTACTGTGGGCTGTACTGACGAAGCTTATTGTTCAGGGCATCATAAATTCCCGTCTTTAATTTCCCTAAGGCACCAGGCAGCAAACCAACATGCATAGTTTGGGTGACCTTTTCTATAAATGAATCTTTTTTCTGTGCAAGCTCGTGAAGCAATGGAATATTTCCTTCGTTACTTAACTCGTATGGGAGAGACTTCGAACGCGCCATTTTAGATATATCGACGTAACCAAAACCACATACCCAAAAGATCAACGTGTTTAAGAATGACAACGTGACAGATGTCCTTGAATGCAACAAAAGCGTCAAAGTTGTATCTACTCCAGTGAACCGTTCGAATGGTAACATTGTTTTACTACGGATTTGATAACAAAAACTTATCGGCGTATTTAACATAAAAACTGCATCTTTACTTGCTAAAAAATGCAAGATTTTCGACTTTACTCTGAAAGCTGCTCTAGACAACAAAATTGTACTGTTTAATGAATATCTCACTCAATATGTCGTCATTTGATCACGTTATGGGACGTATTCATGACGTCACTCACTGCCGGACTGGCTGTGTCAGAATTGCCAATGCAGCGGACGGGTTGACTCACTTGTAGTACCTCAACTGGCCGAGAGATGGTGGTGTGTTGCTGGAGCGTATTTGCGGAACTATCAACACTTGATCGTGCTTTGACCCTTTTTCGTCGCGCTCTAAATTTTATTATTTTCCTTGTTTTATTTTCATCATAGCTCGTAACACTGCTCAAATTCTTGCATTTTGAAGCACAAAACGGGATTCGTGTTTGAAACTTGCATTGCACACATTACATTGGTTGGGAGCTAATTGACGTCAGTTGATACCAGAAATTGTGATGACATATGACGGACATTTATGCCTCAATGATCATATTTCGCTTGGTATTGAACATTTCATGGCCAACCATGGCATGATAGCATGATTATGGCAAATGATGGCATGCATACCTGGATGACCTTGAAATAATCTGTACGAAAGGCTTGCAAAAGTTCGCGAACGTTATCTTGGCAGCCAGATAGTTTTCAATCTGACAAAGACAGGATTGTGGGCTGCACTACGTGGTCTTCAGAATGGCTATCTCCGATTAAAAACCCATACAAAGGCATGAAACACTCCCTTCGCTCCCTTAATAAACAGAAAGTCAGCCCCGATGGTTGGTAAGAACGCATGCCTTTCGATCCACCCACCCGTGGCAAAATGGGTTCGAGTCGTTTTGGGGGCTCGCTCTTTGCCCTTGACAGATATGGTCTGCGGTCGGTGTGTAAAGTACGTTAAAACTTTGCCACCAAATTCTGTCTTTAACCTGGATTTGCGTGATCGGATGGTTGGGGTCAGGGCCTACACAACAAGTACTGCTTATTGTGGGCTCGGTTCCCAGAAATCTACCTATTCATGAAGTTTGGCTCACTTTTTTATTTCCTTATTGTAAAAAAACCTAAATAATGCCGGTTGATTGGCCCCAAACATATTGTCGTTTTCCTCGAAGCGGCGTCACATGCTGAAGAACACGTTGCTAGAAAACATATAAAGGCTTAAACATTACGATGATAATTAGTTCAATGAAAATAATCACACAGATTCTGTTCAGCTTTCATAATGAATTATTTTTCCACCGAATCACTAGTGAGGTAAATTGAAGAAAATGTCAGGAAAGGGAACAACGAGCTGCAATTTATTTACAGTGCTCTTCACTGGAAATTCATAGCATTGATTACAACTGAGGCGATGTCCGCGCCCGAGACAAAATTTTGCGGCATGAAAGTTTGTCTTTAGCTATCTTTTCCCAATACGAGCCAATGGGAAATGAACTCGTGTTCTAGGCGGACTTTGCTGAAAGTGCACTTTTGCCCTGGAACTTCTTCGGGAGGCAATTTTGTTGTTGATGATATTGTGCCTTATGCGATCGTTGGCCCTGGACGAGCTTATGCAGACAAACTTCTGTGACATGAAATTTTCCCCTAGACAATCTTTCATCCGGTGAACCATTGACCTTACTAACCAGTACTCCGCGAATGGCTTTCCCACGAATATTTTCAGGTGATTTTTATCGCGGAAAACCTTAGTTTTCCACAGACAAATGCTGATATGCTTAGAGGACACGCATTTATGCTATCGGAATTGTGAGGATGGTCAGCACTTTCCCATTCCAGCTCTGACCTCCATTATTTCAGTTTCTGTCGTTCACCAAGAATTTCAAATTGCATTGGTATTGGATGTACGTTACTAAATAACTACGTCTATTCACCCATTCTTCTGTATCGTTACCCGGCATGATGGCGTAAAGCACGGCAAATGATGTAATCGGTGGTAGACACATGACCGAAGGGAATCCAATGACGCGAAAACATTTCAAAGAATATTACGTTATCATTTGCAGCATTTCACGGGTGCCAGTGACTCTCAAGATTTATCAGAAAATGATTTATTACTTTCGATTTATTACTTTGATTTATTACTAAGATTTATCACTTTCGACGGAGTGTAAGAGAGGATATGCTCTGAGCAGGCGCACCAGCGCTGGGGAAAGTATACTTTTTGTCGCCGATTGACTTTTTGGAGACAAAATTTCCGCCAGCAGCGCAATGCAATGGTATAAGATGCAAAATGGTAGTGTAGTCCATGCCCAGTAGTGTCATCAGGAATCACCATATCCCCAAAGCCCCTCTCTTCGCTAAAATTTGCAATATCATGCAAACAACCCAAACACTTTAAGTCACAATGTCTTTCAACTAATGTCAGAATACCTGCTACTGCTGGGAAAGCAGGCGCGCCTGACCTATACTATGGGAAAGATAAATCACAGCAGCAGTTTTTCCACTCTCGGGACTTGTCAGGGCCTCACGTTTAAGCTCAATCTACCGCTGGCTTTGTTTTCCTCGACTGCAAAAAAACGACGACAAAGGACTTCGATAGCCAGGGGAGCAGAATACATGGCAGAGTTCGAACCGGTGGCAGGTAGCACTGGGGATGGCGTCCAACATGCAGACCTTCTCGATACCATGCCCTCCTATGAAAATCCCCTGTGCGCTTTGAGCCTTATCTCGCCCGTCATCAAACTGACCACTGTACCTTAGGTATGGTTCAAGCCTGGCGCAACATGTGTTGCTTGGTGGGCGCCTTTCGTCGTGCCCGAACAAGTAAATTGTATTGAAAGTTATTAATAATTTTACATCAGTCTGCAAGTTCTTTATGAACAACATAGTCGCTCTGACAGGGGGAGGGGAAGGGGGGGGGGGGCGTTGCATCCCCCCCCCCTCTCCTCTAAACATTTCTGGGATACCAATCTGGTATATTATGCCGTCTCGCTTAAATATTGGTAGTTTCTGGGGCATCCATTGCGCGTGTGTTAGCACCAAAAACGTGGACAATCAAGTGACGAAAGCATGCGTTAAGTCACTGCGTGAAATAAATAACCGACAGTCTTCATTACAAAATGGCCCCGCAGACTCTTTCTAGACCGATAGAGCTCGGAAGCTTTGTCAGAATCTTTACCTGGGATGAACAGAGAATGCAGATTGAAAGAGGTTAACAGTGTGACTATTTTATAAACATGGCTAAGCCATGTTTGTCTGGAAATGTTAAATACTCATTCAGAACTCATAAGTGGTACCCATTCTTTGATGTAGCTGTGAGTAAGCATGCTGGCATGCTCTTAGCAGCAAAGTCCTTGATGTCAGGCGCTGCAGTCTCCACAGGCCGCCTGGGGTCGGCCCCGCGGCAAATACTTAGTTGTGACCAACGGGTGGACAAAAATGATGACGCATGTGCAACAAAATAGTCTTCAACACTTGAAATGACACACTTAAAGGGTAATTATCAGGTAATTATCAATTATAAAAGGCAAGGTAGCCCAGGCTATAGTTCACTCGTGATATTTTTAGACTGTTGATAAGAATGGACTGGCCTTTACAGCACCGCGAAGCAGTGCTGAAATCTGGTGGCAGAACTGGAAGAGTCAAGGTTGAATTTATCTTTCCGTGTTGTTATGATCAAGTTACTCTGTCGAGATGACAAACTCAAAGCTATAAGAAAAAAACGCCCAGTTTTCTTTTTGAACGGCACGAATTAATTTTGAAAGACATTCGGAACCATTATTTTACAACGGTCGTTTTCGTGCGCAGAGCGCCCGCCGCCTGGTGTTACATGCAGCAACCAACGCCGTTCGATTTTACGGAAACTGCAACCCAGGCCATTGCTGTCCTTACTCCCGAAATTGCAGACGCGCGGCTCAAATATTTTGATGTGATTTGTTTCACTAGTCGACTCTGCAAAATAATGAACGTTCTAAGACAAACACGGGAAAGCCTTGCTCGTTTTTTAAACTCATTTCGACCCACTCAACTCAGCACTAATGGGTCCGTTAATTTCTCTCTGGGAAAGGGGCTCTGGACACATTGTTACCGCCAGTATAAATATGAATATTAGGTAACTCATTATTGTTCTTGGTTAAGGCTAAAGGTCCATCCCGTCCCACCGCGAAGTGTCTTCTAACTGTCATGGCGGCACAAGGCGGGATCCCCTGGCCGATTCGGAGGTCCTTAGAGGGATACATCATACTATGTTTGTCCCCTCCACACATGAAAGGTCCTCTGACCCGTGCAGAGGGCCTCGGATCGATGCAGGAACCCTCATGGACGCAATAACATCCCTGATCGCCCCAAGTGGTCCAATAATTGACACAGACTCCACTTTGGCTTATCGGGCCTATGCTAGAAATGGGTTGAAGGGTCAACTGCTTGACAATGAGGCCCTGACTGACACATGAGCCTTTCATTGTCCACTGTGAACAATGATTACAAGCTCCTATGTTTCCTTTCGTTGTCATAGGACAATGAAAGGCAGAGACCAACACAAGAAGCGCTCTGTCATTCGGTGTTCCATCTCCGTCCCTGTAGAGCAAGTCTTCCCCTGCCCGACTCGAGACCCCTTGTTGACACGGAATGCCCTGTTAAGCACTGTGGTCCCCTGAACGATGCAGGAACCCCACATTGTTACCGCAAGCATAAATAGGAATACAAATCAATGCACCTATATAAATCGCGGGAATATCGGTGTTCATGCTTGGAAAATGGTCCCTAAGAGCTCAGACCGACAGGGAGCCGGCTGTCCGGCATTGATGATCTCTTCCCGAAACAGAAGAATACTCTGCTTCAGGGGTCCCTAATTGGTGCAAGAGGCCTTCTAATTGACATTCGAGATCGTGGCTCTACGGGCAGGGGTCCTTAATGTGACT